TTTTTTCAGGGGGGGGAGAACTTGATACAAGTTTCTCCAAATACCTCACCCTTCAAGTACTGATAGCAAACATGCTCGTACATGTACCTTATCGATGTACATGTATGGTATGTAGTGTGAATTAAATCCTGAACAAAGCTACATGTATGTTACCAGTGCCTGGTAGGCCTTTTGGCGCAGTCAGCAATGCTTGTGAACTGTACATGTACGGTACATGTACCACACCTGTATGGTACATTTACATGTAGTTGTGCAATATGAGTTTTCTTCGCTGCTTAATCTTCATCAGCTCCCTGGGGAACCCTTCCTTCAGCAAAATTTTCTTCTGTCCCCACAACCGACCATGCATTCCTGTCTCTTAAAGCTACGGTCTCCCCCCCGGTACATACATGTACAGTATCGACACCATCCCAAAGCGCATTAGGCCATGCTGTATCTCATCATTTCTCATGATTTAGATATCCCCTACAGAACATCTGTCGGTAACGACACGTTGCCATATTCATGAACACATGGCTGTACATGTACAGTACACACATACCTGCACATAAAGTACATGTATATGTACATGTACGTTGCATTTGAAGGTTAAAATCTGTGAAAATATTTTCCCGCCTGTGTGAAAAGGTGTGAAAATATTTTCCCACTTTTGGCACACTTTTTCACATTTTGTGAAATGAAAAGGAATTCCCTGGGAAGAGAAAAAAATGTGAAATTTTTTTTCCCATTTTGGTGTTAACTTTCAATCGCAATGTACATGGACATGTACTGGTATACACGCACATACATTGTACATTGTACAATGAGCCAGTCTGAGTGAGCATGCTCACTTGCCAAAGGAAGACTGCCCCATCAACATGATCAAAAGCCGCTCAGCAATCTTTGTGACCCGAGCAGGACCTCTAGCACCCTGGATTTGAAGAATCACACAAGGACCCGAATACAAGGATAAGAGGAGAGCAGCTGAACTCTTCCCAGGGCTTTGCCCTGGGGATGCCAGCAGATTATTACCGTAGTATTGTACACGTATGGCTGTTGTCAGTGCTCCAACTTCCATTCTGTCCAGTTTCCCTCGCCAGGGGACAAACCAGTGGACACCTGATACCTGCACTGTTGCTCTCTGCGGATGGTTTTCCACCATAATCAGATTTATGCATTCTTTGGTTGTATGAAAAAAATTCCATTTATGTAAAATTTTCTCGTACTGTACAGTACTGTAGTACATGTAGGCCGACATACATGTACATGTACATAATGTACATGTACATTACATGTACTTGTACATGTACCCGTAGTTTGCCTGTTTTGATTGAAATACCAGTACGTGTATGTGATGTGATCTGGGACAACCTTTCACAAGGTGAAATTTGTCAGTTTGTGTTATAATATTAATATACTGTACCTCAGCCTATGCCGCTGCCGGTGCTGTAAATAATGGTAGAGTTAATGGAGACCCCCTGCTGTTGTCAAAATTGTTTTATATTCCCGATTCTAGGATGTTTGTAGATTTAGTTCCTACTACACAACCATGATCAATGTTTACAATGAAATGTGTATAAAATGTACATGTACCGTATTTCAAGAATGACAATTAAGAAAATTGAAAAAATGGCAGTAAAACATCAAATTACATGTATCCAAAAAAAAAATTAACCCTCAGACCAGTACCGGCACTACATGTAGTTTTCCATTATCAAATTTATTGAGGAAAAATGACAACACATACATGTACATGTACCGCTACCAACCTTGTTCTACATGTATGAGCATGAACAGATTTTTTCAAGTGACTGCCATTCCGGTACATGTACATGACATGTAGCAGGGTACATGGGCAATTCCAGAAATTAGGGGTGCAACAGTGTGACATTTTCGTGTCCCTGTTACATCTGACCTTTGTTATTTGGCATGGAAATATCACTGGGATTGATTTCAAACAATTACTATTCGTTTGGCAGGTACATGTACATGTACATGTACATGTAATTTGCATTCATCCGTCACTCTTAGAAATTAGAAAATGTGTTGTGAACTTACAAAATCATATGTCAGATGTGACGGGGACAAAAAATGGACCCCTAATTTCTGGAATACCCACATTCTGTACTACCATGACTACTGGTCATCAAAACAGCAAATTAGCAAAACAGGCACAAAACACATTTTGTGCCTTACAAACACACATGTACATGTACTTGTACATGCACCTGTATGTTACCGGTACATGTACTGTACATGTAGTTGCAACACTACCGGTGTGTATGGGTACATGTACCGTACCGTTATTTACATGTACTGATACCCAAATCCATCGTTACTATAATTTGTCGTAATTTTCCCACAGGAAAATTCTCAGCGACCTTTGAACATATTGGGACGTGTAGCACCTGAATACAATCATTGTTCCTCAAAAATGGCATCAGCACTCTGACAAAATGCAAGTGCAGTGTACATGTACACCTGTACAACTTCAAAACACTTTGGTCCACACACTGACCAGGTGCTGTACCAGTACATGTACATGTAGGTCTATTGTGTAACACATGAACCTGTCCCCACAAGAGACGCCATGCATGTACATGTATACTCATTTCTTGTTCACACTTGGAACTCATTGTTTGTAGTTTACTGTACATTAGAACTACAGTACTTGTGCCGGTAAGCACAGTCTGTGCACTGTTACTGACCTCAATTCTTTGCTCTCTGCTTATTAATATCAGCAACATGTAATGAGATTTCTGCATTTTGTTCTCATTTTTTAATGAGAGACTCACAATGTACTGGTACATGTATGTTCTCACTGTGGAAAAGAATGTGTTTGTGTACATGTGCACATGTACTGGTACATGTACATGTGCACATGTACATCAGGGGTGTGATTTGTCCGGATTGTCAGAATTTCTGTGAGACTTTCCGGATTTCCGTATTTGTCAATGCTTTCAATATGTAACACCAAGACTACAATATTTGGTGTGAAACTAAGCAAAAGACTTGAACAAGTTTACATGTAGGTATATAGCACACGCTTTAGCGTTGTGACTCCCCCTGGAAATGCGCCAGATACATGTACATAGGTAATAGTACATGTACATTGAACGGAGGGGTATCATTGTTAAAACATAGGGGCCCGGCCAGCGGTATGATCGTTGTGTGTACAATGTACATGTACATGTATGTACCGGTACATGTACATGTACCGTACTCTGCGTATTGTCCATTCGCGGTGTGTGTATGTACTGTACACATGTTGTCGTTGCTTGAACTGTGTATAACTTGTGTCCATCTGCCATTGTGCTTCGTTCTCGTGGTGGTCTGATGTCGTTGACGTCCATCAAAAATGTCTTACAAGGTACATGTAGTGGGTACATGTAGGAACGGGGAGCGGAATGTGGACAAAGGATTAAAGAATTCTTGGAAATTTTCCTGGCTGGAAACCGAGGTGGACAGAGAATTAACCAAGGGGAAATTGATAGATTATCGTGACTTTCTTGTGAAAATCGACAAACCTGGGTACTGCAAGTGCACATGGTGTCACAAGTAGTGCAGTACTCGTCTGTATGAGACAGTTTTCAGTTTTAATAAATTATGATAGAATTTTGTGGATCACTGATAACTGCGTTTGCGTGTGTATTACACTTCTGGGCCTTTGATTGTCACCAATTATAGCTTACATGTACATGTATAATGGCAATTGAAGTGAATGAGGACAAGGGCTTTGTCGCAGTAAATGTTATAAATAATTGCATCCCTCAAAGTAAGAGCAGTTCTTGTGGTGGCTTACATGTAATCTCCTCCTATAATCAAATACCTGTAGATATGCCGCCAATTGTAGGGAAGCTGTGGCCGGCACAACTTGCAAAACCCTCCGACGAATGTTTCGTAGATTTTTCATTTTCCCCAAATCACACCCCTGGTACATGTACATGTGGACATGGACTCGTGTACCGGTACATGCACTGGTACATGTACATGTATGGATTGTTGTGTATCAATTCAGGTTTTTTACAAGCTCTCATAAGACCAGCTAGGATGCCAGTCCAATGCAGGTTGCTTCCCCAGATAATGCTAGTACCCATTTATACCCGAGTGGAGAGAGGCAAACAGAGGTGAAGTGGCTTGCCAAGGGCCACAACATACATGTACCGTACTGCCAGCAGTTGGATTCGAACCTCCAACTCTATGATCGGAGGCCACAGACCCTAACCACTTGGTCACATGTCCCCAAATGCATATAGCCACTGCAATACTGTGAAGACAAAATGTACATTGTGTAGAAACTTCTGAGCCAGAACCATACTTCAGGACAAATCCGTGATGTCACTAGTTGATTTCTGATAATTAAAGCACTGTACAGTACATGTACCCGTACAGTAACTTGCCAGGAATTTCTGCTTGGCAGCTGGTAGACTGACAGTTTGCCAAATGCACTTGACTGACTGGCATGTACATGTACATACCGGTACATATACATGTACTAGTGTACATGTACACTAGTACTGTATTTCTACCCACTCTACATGTGCTTGATGTATATGATGTACATGTACCGGTACATGCCGGTATACAAGGATTACTCAACATCTTCATTAATAGAAAACATGCATTGACCTTTTGCTGTAGCAGACACTGACTGCACAAGTACAATGTTCATGTACATGTGATCAAATGAAAACTAATCTTCTTAACTAGTTGCTAAAGAAAGGCATTTTCTGAAAGTTTTTCTGGGTAAGCCTATACTAATAATCCGTACGAATGATTTTTCCTGAAACAATCAATCCGACCCTGTTAGGCCAACCTGTTCTCCTTCCCCCCCTCCTTTTTTTGTGAATTTCTTCTCACCCGTACAGGAGACTGTTTAAAGTAAAACCCTTCCTTTTCAACAAGATGTTGTTTGTCCCATTCTTCCACTCCTGCATTAGGTTTCACTCAAAGGGATATCTGATTTCGGTGGAGTTTGTTTTATTTCGTGTTCTTTCTCTTGCTTCTTTCCACCAATGCAGAGCAACACGCAGACGTTGTCAAGGAATCGCTGAAGGCTTCTGATGCCATTGTCTGCGACGTTATCAAGAGGGTGGCAGCGGAGCTGGAAGGGGGCTCGGCGCACTGCTGCCTTCAGGAGACAGAACTTGAGGTATATTTAAGAAGGTTCCCTGTAGAGTGAGACCTTAACGTCAGGACATGCAGCAGAGAAATGTTAGAGCATTTTTGCCCTGTAAACCTCCAATCAGTGGTGCGGGGATTCGAATCCAGCAGGTGGCCATTTATTGTGACCGTGGGTAAGCCACAATAGGGAGTGCTCACTCGCTGACCCACGTGATACCGTACATCAGCCATCGTCCTAAGGCACAGACTGTTGGACACATTTCACATAATGATACTGGTAGTAGGCAAGCCTTCAAAGCTTGAATAATAAATGACAAAAAGTACGAGAAATAGGCAAAGCTGGCATCCCGTACTGAGCTGGCATGATATAAATGACAGTTATAGGAAGCACAGGTGGTAACCATTTTAATATTTGATTAAAAACTTCATTTCAGAAGAAAAGTTAAGCTTCACTGTCTATATAACAGGTTTTGCCCTTACCCAATGTGTCTAGTTAATTGTGGTACATGTATGTACAATGTACGATGTTCGGTTGCTAACTGAATGCTTGCCCACTGCAGTGGTGGCAGATTTCTCAAACATGGTTTAGCCCTATACCTCGGCTGCTTTTCTCTCTTTAATCCTGAGATAGCTAGGAAATGACAGGCAATGAATTACCATCCTATCCATGGGGAAAACAACCTTCTAGGTCATATGGTATCCTGCCCCAGAAATCAGGGATGACTGAGTTCTTGCCTGATTGTTACTGTACATGTACTTGCTCAAGGCCAATGGTACGGTATTTTTACTTTTTACCCGTGAGCCAGCAAAATTCTTTGGAAACTTCCACAAGGCAATGTTGAAGTCTTCACCAGCCAATTTCTGAGTGTCAGTGTTACATGTACGGTAAATTTATATGGGTATTTTTATCTTTTTGCATTGGCGAGCAGAGTCAAAGTTCTGATTTAAATTTATATTACTTCTACTACGCTAAATGTACCAGTAGAATTGGTAGCATTTTTCTAACTTTGAGGCCCCAAAGTGGGCAATATGGTAACCTTGTTGTGTAATTTGTGCAGGATTACAAAGAAGATCTTTCCCATGACACACCTGAATCAGCTACATTTACCAGCAGCTGAATCACGGGGCAGTCTGCCCGACATACATGACATATGTTCTTTCCGTTTGGTTGCATGACTTTAGTTTTCATAAATAAAGATGAATTTCCATTTCCCTGTTGAAGGAAAGCAATATTTTCTTATCATTGCCTATACCACAGAAGAAAAGTATGGAATTTTGTGTACATACATGTACATGTACATGTACATTGTATGCATACATGTACCAGTATGTACATTTCTCAAGCGTTCATGGCAAGATAGGAAATACCAGTAGTGCTTAATAAGCCTTTTTGTGAATTAACTTTGACCCCAATTTGGTTCACTGAGTGCTTTAAATTGACGTGACCATAACAACTTGAATTCTCCTTACTAAAACCACTGTTGCTATACCTCGTGATTTGGGGCAAGCTTTTGCTTAGTTACATAAGAGACACCTTGCAACAATACACTGTTCTCAACGGATAAGAAGGGCAAAAAGGAACCAGTCCATTCCAGAGATGGTGGTCGCTATGCGAGAGCTTGCTCCGAATCACGAGGTATAGCAACAGTGTCTTTAGTCTGGGGAATTTAAATCGTAATGTTTTGTACAGTCAGATAACTCAGTGCACCAGATTTTATTCAAATTTAACTCGCAAATGGCTTATAGGCCCTCATGACATACATGTACACTATAGCACCTGCATGGAAGCCACATTGATTCTCTCCTTGTTATCTGTCGTTTTTTTTTTTCTTTTTGTTTCTATTCCATAACCCTATAGGTTTGTCTGATCTCCAGACTGGAACAGATCCTGGAGTTGTGCATTTTGAGGCTAAGAACCAAAGTCTCCTCCCTGGAGGCTCTGACTGCTCTGTCTGTGATCTTCAATCCGAGCACCAGGTAAAAAAAAAAATGGCCTGAACGTTCTGAATTGTCTGAAGTCTATGTCGTCAGGCATCTTCTCAGTGGATGAAAAGCTCAGGGCCCAAGTCGGTACATGTACTGCGTCCTGTCATCTGTCCAACAACGTCAATGCTTATCACTGGGGGACAACGAACATCTCACTGCACAGTCCTGGAAGAAGTTGGCTTCCACACACCAGACCTTGCTGTTGGCTTCCACACACCAGACTTTGCTGTCCTGGTCACATGCCTGATTGCAAAAATATTGTGTTTGTTTACAAGCTTTCCAAGTGCTTTTGCAATTGTGTAGTACAGAGTACCACACAAGCAGTGAACAATGGATACTTTATGAAAGTGCAGAGTAGCGTGTATGCTAAATGTCAACTGTAATGTCGCAAAGTAGCCTTTTCAAGTTAATGGCTTTGTGGTTCCCTCGCTCATGTGCTGCACATATTTACAGACTTATCCTGGCTTTTTAAGAAGAAAACAACGCCCATCATTCAACTTGGAACTTTAGGAATGTGCATAGGAAGATGTGGGACCAAACCTATGAGAAGTACTTGTACCTGTAGGGGTCATCAAATCCATTCCACTTGGTGTTATTGCAGGAATGCGATTCAAACCTTGGTCCTCAGACATTGTGATTTATTACAATCTGTTAAGCAAAATTCTGCAATTTTGAAACAAACTCTTGTTCATGTATGTTCCCTTTTTTTTTCAGCTTCAACCAAACAGAAGCATGGTCTTCCCGGTCCGGCTACTCCAAGGTTTGCATAAACAGCTGATTTATGGCAACAAAAAAGTACAATTGTCTAATAGCTTTTCGTCAAGTCCGGGGCTTGGGATAGATGTGTGCTCTGATAGTGGGTTTACTATCCAGAGAAGGCAGAGTGGATAACATGATAGTGGTCAGTGCTGTTCATAACGGCCACTAGTGATGCCATTTTGCCAAATGGAGACTCTGCCGACAAATCCGGCCCTCTGTCTTGCCACAGTCCCCGTATTGACACCCTTAAATCTGAGATTCATTCTGCTAACTTTTTCTTTAAGAATCATTCCGCTGGAGAACTTATAAAATTTGTACAGTTTAACTAGATGCACGTTCTTCGCACCACACCTTGAACAGCATTGAATTGGTACATGTACATGCTGCAAGTCTCGGTTACCAGCAGCTAGAATCTTATTCCTAAGGGCATTCAGCCGTGAGCAGTAACTGTATGCAGTGATAGCAAATACCGGTAGCATCTTGCACTGTGTTTTACATTAACACAGTAGGCGGAAACCACTCAATACCCCAATTAACGACACCCCATGGTAACAGAGGAAGTATCAAAGGCTCAGGAACATTCGTGTTCATATAAATCATCTGATCGTGCCTGCAACAAGTGCTTTTACATACCTCGTGAAATGAGTCATGTACATACAGCGTTGTCCGCATTTGACTACTTGTGAAGGCTGGGGACTCACAAACTTGCTTTACAACTGACTATAAAAGTTGTTTACAAAATTGGTCACAGGCAGCGTGTAAAAGGTTATGTAAAAAAAATGCAATAAACCTTTTCTTAAAAAAGAGATATTTGATACAGTTGAGTTAACCTGAATGGAAATGCATGTACACTCATGTGAAAAGAAATCATTGTTCCTTGCACTGTCATGGCTCCCCTGCCTTGACTGTGCGGCACAGTTAAATGCTACTGCATAAAAGGTAATTCCATTTGACTTTAAACACCACCACCTATTCAATTCTTTCATGGTGTATGATACCGGTAAGTGCCACCTTTGGGAACGTAGGAGAGCTTGTTTGTGTCGGCAACTCATTTGAAGAGTATTTGTTACATGAACCCTAAAACTGAAATGGGGACGCTTCAGGTCAGTCAGTACAGCCATTCCCACATCTAGGGAAACAATTTTTTCAAATTAGATTATCGCAGTCAGTTGTACAAGTTGTGGAGTCGTTCATAATTGTAGGGGAATTGGTGGTTTTCCTGTCAGGAAGTACATACATTACATGTCATTGTTGTTGTTTTTTAAAATTTGATAGACGTCAGTTCTAGCACAGACCATTAACTACTTTGGTAGTTGCGACGGTTTTGAGTTAGTGCGACGGCAGCTCAGGAATGCCAGAGATCTTTCCATTGGCCACATTGCTGCACTGCTCAGGTTGGTAATAAGACTTGGAGAAGGTTTCAACCAAATACTGTACACTGTTAAAACCTGTCCTCTGGTGAAAATTGTTTGATTAATGTCTCAGATTTGGCATTTTTATATTCAAGCTGTTTCAAAATCTTCTTTGGAGTTTTTAAATCAGCTTTTAAGTTTTGATACCAAGGTTGTTGAAACATATTGATATCTGTTCTGGAATGAGGACAATCTCATCTAAGCTGCATAAAGCCCTCTAGTGTACTGTAATTTGCTATAATCCAGTAGGAAATCATTCAGTTGCAAGTCAAGTCAAACGGTTTTGTAACAAACAATGACTAGGCTGACTAGTTAATATATATTAAAATTACACTCCACACTTCAAGACTTGTGATCCAACTTGTGATGCAATTTATGACTGACTAGTTTACAACTTTCCAACTATGAATATGTGCACGACTTGAATGGTTTTTTGCAGATTGTAGCACACACAGGCTCTGCCTGAGACTCAATGAAGCTACTGAGTAACCTAAGAAGAATAATCGTGGGCTCCTTGTTGGAACCGGGGCATTGATTTTTTGGGGGGGGGTTGTACTAATGGCAGTCTGGCATAAAGAAACATGAAAACAAATCCTGCTCTGAAATTTGATCTGAATGTTTTGATTTGTAGACCATTTGGTCAGTGTTACCCGCAGCTGTCAGCAGACACGGTGAAGAGTTATTTCCTACCCACAGTGGTGAGTCAATGATGTGCTTGTTGATGATGTGGGTGACCTACCCCTCTGAAGACGTACATGTATTGATCGTAGCAAGCCAATCACTGGTCACTCGCTATAATCATCGAGTTACAAGACAAGTCGCAAGCTGTTTTAATGCAATTAAGGCATTTCTTTCCTTGCTGTTGTTTTTTTCATTGGGAAAAATGACAGTGGTTTCTCTATAAAAAGGGACTGAAGGCAGAATTACATGTCTGATTTTGCTTACATGTTTGCCCGTATGGGATACACGTATGTGCACTACATGGGGTATGTTACATGTATCATTGTTTTTGAGGGGTTTTCATTGAAATGCTAGATAGATAGGGCGATTTTCTTGCCAAAATAACAATATTACAATAAATATAGAGAATGCTGGCCATTGACATGTCAGATTAAAGATTTGATTTGGTCTAAACTAAATATACGCATGGTTTTGCATGCAAATTCAAGGAAGGAATTGGCAGTTTTCTTTGAAATTTGCTCTGGAAAGTGCAAAATGCCAGAAGATTTGACAGAAAAGTGCTTTTACACGGTATGTGCGTCTTGTACAGGTTACTTTGATGGTTCATTCAATTTGTACTACGGCAGCTGTCAGTAGAGTCGGGGGAAAAAATATACGCGCTGGTGGGAATGACCGTTAACATGCCCTGATAGCTCTTGTGAGGCCCTCTTGCCGCATCAAAATTGCTCCTTCAATTAGATTAACCCCCCACACTCTGGAACCCTGTCTATACATTAAGCAGTGCCTCGGGGCATGTCAGGTTGTTTGCCCCTTTTTTTTTTTTTACATCCAAGTTTTGTTTGTGTGATGCCGATCCTGAAACTGTCCACACTGTGGCCTGGAACCTGATGCTCCCCTGCAGCCGAGAGGCTATCGACTTTTGGAAGGAAAACAATTTTCAATTGGACTGTGAATTGGAGTGTTTATCAATCATAGGGGTTATGAATATTTAGCACAGATTTGTTATTCCTCACACCGGTATACTGACTCGAGCTTATTCTAAAAAGCAAAGGTTAATAAGCTGGTACCATGTACAGGCACAAGCATGTGGTGGTGTAGTGTTTTGTGGTTTTGGGTCATTATTTTTTTTCCCCAGTTTTAAGTTGGTGTTCACATCAGTAAATTTTCTGAATGATATTTTGAAAAACGTTTGTTACACATTAGCTCTGAAAGGGAGCGGCTACTTGGATGAGATCGTTGAGATATTATAAGCGATCCTCATCTGTGAAAGTGTCACAAAGAAACATACAATTTTTGGCTTTGCACATTTGGTGCTGTAAAGAAACATTCCTCAGATAGTACAGAAACTGTGAATAATGCATTGATGAACGTGCATCAGTACCTGGACATCACACACTGTCTGTGTGGACCTTTCAAAGCGCTTCAACCTGGGTTAATAAATTAGATTTCACATCTGTGTACAAAAACCTCATACATTAACCATCTCATTTTCCTCTGAAGTACCGCTAATTGAATCCAACAGATGGTTGTTAACAGAAATGAAAGTTTACGTGTAATTTCTTTATGCATGACAGTAACATGCCTGGTCTGCATTGTCTGCTCTCGAGGGGTGTCATTGCTGGCTTTGGTTGTTTGTCAACAGGACAATCCAGATGTAGATTCGAAAACTTGGGTAGTTTTCTAAATGTTGTATTAACTCTTAAGCTAGTGCATGGATGCATGCCACTATGGGCCTCAGTGTTGATCAGGCCATATGCATGCGTGCAGATCTTTATTTATTGAATGCTCTTTTCGACGATAGGATCTGGTGTGTTCCCACCTGCTTTCATGCTCAGACCGTCAACTCTTCCAGCAGGACATACCCACTGGTGAGCTACCGTCTTGCCTGATTGGGCCCCGTGCTGCCTATGTCATAGTCGAGGTAAACATCAGTTCTTTCATTGACAACTTTTGTGAACAAGTTTTATCCTCAAATGTGTCAGAATTCCTTGATTATTGCTCACTTGTACGTCTACCCTTAGAGCAGTCCTGCTCCATTTCAGTTTGAGAAAGGACGTGAACTCTGAAAGTCTTAAACCTTTTTTTTCTGTATTACCTTGGTTTTACGTTTGCCTTTTCTGAAAAGTCTCAGTTCCATTTGGCAAAATCCTGCAATCTCTTTTAGCCATGCTAACTGAACCACATCTGTGGAGAGTTTCCTGGTGTGCAAAATTTGCCACCAAACGCAGTAATCAAAACCACCAAAAGCTGTGCAGGTATTTACAGCATCACATTCGGAACTGAACAGTTTTGCATGCAAGTAGTTCAGTTCTAGTCGCGTTGTCTGAAAAACTGAATTCCCTTTCAAAAGAGAAAGCCCTGAATTCTATTGCCCTGTGCACCACTGTTTATGTCCCCCCCCCACATCACTGTGAGTCTTTTCCACTGAGCATTCTACCCAGTTCCTCTTCCCCCAAATTTTATTCATTTACATTCAGTCTTGTTTACCTCTGCCATTCTCAGGCATTTGACAGATACCTGAAATGATCAGTTTGTTGGGTCTTCATGCATGTTTTTTTGTTTCCTCTTCATTTTGAATTAGTCTGTGATGAATCTGCTGTCTGTGGTCAAATCAGAGGAGGTGGATGCAGAGGTCAAGGTGCAATATTGGCAGGAAACTATCCTCACCAGGTAAAAATTTCTGTGCTACAGAGTCCCAACATTTCTCACTTATCCAGAAGAAAAGATAACATGCGAAATACTTGAGTCGTGTGGGATGAAGTCACCTTGCTTTGCACGATATTCATTTTCCAAGTCTGATGTGCCAAGTCCAGTGTTGGAGGAAGTTTTGAGAAATTGCTTTTGGCATGTCTGGCTCTGAATACCAGTAGTTGTTCTCGTGTGAAGTGATGCTTGTACTATTGATGAGTTTCAGTCATTTATATGAGTCTTGCAAATTAGTTGTGTGATGAAATTTCAAATGTCGGCCTGTCGGGCCTGGTACCATTTTGTATCATATACACCATGCTGCACCACATTCAGTAATCAGAGCCATGGTGCTTTGTAACACTACATTACATGTGTGTTAAATGTATGATCACATGACTCATTGCATCACTTTCCCTAAGTGGTCCGGTTGTCACTGGACATTTCCTTTGGATGACACCTGTGGTGACTCAACGTTGAATATCCCATGTGGCCCGAAATGTGGATCAGGTTTGACAAACATAAATTCTGTATTTTCTTCCACTCAATGGGACTCCATCTCCATGATTTTCCCTCTTTCTGGAACATTTGACAGTGATAAAATTTCTTTCCAAGAGTCCTTGGGCTGTCACCAACCAAACGTAAAAATGCCAAAAGCCGTTGATTTGTTTTGTTTGCTGAGCAAATTGAATGGCTCAGCATTGTGTTCGCATGTTCACAAATGAAATCACATCCTGCAACGGAAGTTGTTCATGCATTTTGGTTACCACAGGGACCTGCCCAAAGCCTCCCAAAGCCTTTGCTATTTCAGGAATACATTCTTAATGCTTCAGCACCAAACGGGCATAAGCTCTGCATAAAGTTGGCCAGGGGCTATGAAGTCAATGAGTACCTCCCGCAATCCCACAGAATTCTTTAAAGATCTTGGATTGTTAGGGTTAGTGATTGCTATTGAAAGATAAGCAAGCACAATTTTGTCAGAGCTAAAAGTGTACATGTATATTGCGGCTGGATGGTGTGGTGTCGTCTCCTGTCTTATTAAACATTTCTTGCTCCAGGGCCTATTTCTTTTACACATCTATGGGCCATACTAAAAAACCTGGCAATTAATTGTGCCAATATCTGTTGCGTATTTTTGGGTCTTTTGTAATGCAAATGTGCCGTGTCATATTCTTGCATGTTTATAAATGTATCAGATCAATAGCTGAGAATGTTCAAGCATGTTTTTGTCTAATTTCACCTCAGCCAGGTACCACCTTGTGTTGAACCCCTAGACAGTTGTGCAGGAAAGTTGTGCATGTACTGTTCGTCATTTTGTCGTAATTTTAATTCCCGTTGCAGGCTGAAACGTGCTATGGAAGACGACACGAAATCAGCCTCTGCCGCAGCCAAGAAGGATTCTGCAGTGTCTGACTTACAGCAGGACAAATTGCTTCATGCTTGTGTACCAAAGAGTAGCAACAATGGAACGGAAATGGATGAGAAAGACAGTGCCTCACACCCTGAAAACAAAACTGGCAGTAGTGTTGAGGGTAAACCGTCCACGTCAGGACACGGTGGTCCGAGTGAAGTAGCTCAGGAGGCCTTGGAGGTCAACATTTTACCCTATGGCCCATTGGCATATGCCCACAGCGACTCTTCCTCCAGCGATCACGATGCCCAGCCACACACCCCACCCTCTGCTAGTGTCATCCCCCAGGAGGTGATCATCCGTGGGCAGGGACCCTATCGCGAGGTCATCCCGGTTGGGACCATGGCCTACCAGAGCGACACACCGGCAGGCCCCTCAGCAATTGTGGGCATCCCTGGAGCCGGGACCTTGCCTCGGCGCAATGACTCCAGCGACAGCTCCTCCCTGGTGTCCTCCGTGCCCCGCTCGGCCAGCGAGCTAGGCAACACCTGCCGGGTCTGCTTCGAGGCCGAGACCTCGCCCAAGAACCGGCTGATCCGGCCCTGCCGCTGCGCGGGGTCAGCGGCCAGCATTCACCGCCAGTGCTTGGTCAAGTGGATCCACATCTCGGGCAATCGGCGCTGTGAGGTTTGTAATGCACGCTTCAGCTATGTGCCCTTCTCCGAGAGGATGCGTGGGTTCATGGAGAAGTTCCGGCAGAACAGGGTAAGTCACAGAAGTCCGTCTTTCGCAAATATTGTCCAGTACACAGAAATTCTAACCCGAAGTTTGAATACTTTGGACCGCCTCATACCCGGTAGTCTGCATACAAAGGGATGGTAGCAAGCTGAATAGAGTGCCATGTATGCCCCGAGTCACTGACTGCGGATGTGTACACTCGTTAATTCCCATTTGATTTGGACACATATAGTCAGAGAAGTTTTTGAAGAAGGACCACGCAATAGAGTTGACCTTGAACACCTGTTGAAACAAAACTTGCTACCGTACTTGGTGGGCCAGGAGTTTCGCAAACTATGAGGTTGAATTCAAGGAAGGCGTACTGTGATTGCATTCTTATTTTCCCTTTGGTAATCAAATTATCCCTATTTTTAAGATTGTTGTCTTTCTTTTCTGCACTTTTTTTTCTCACAGAGATGGCGCAATGCTGCCTTTGCTGTTTTGGTCGGTCTGGTGGTGATTCTGTACCTCATCATCTTTGCAGTGTTCCCCGGCGGCATCATGAATGTATAATGGCACCACAGTAAGAGTCCAGGAACCATACCTGGGATCAGGCATGCTAACTTTCAGATGCAGTTTACCTGTAGTGGAATTTCATACATGTACATGTAGACAGCAGGGTGCTGGTTGCTTCATGATAGTGTACTGGAACAAGTGGAAAGGAACTCCTTGGGTCGCGTGTTTGCACAAATGCTCACTGTACTTGAACAGGCTTGGTTAAATTTCTCCTCGTCCCAAGAGTCAAGTTTTTACTTCCATGTTTCCCCCCTTTCTGTCCCTCTTTCTGGTATGCCTAAAGCTAAGAAATGAAGTTATGGAAAGGCTCCAAATAGTTGCCAGTAATGAAACATTTCTCAGCAAGAGGACTGTTCCTGGCTACAGCCATTACCAGTCGTGAAGCTCAGCTGTTGACAGGCTGTCCTAATAAATTGCTAACAAGGCCATTGATAAAAGTAATTTACCGTAGGGTGAGACGAATCGTTTGTAGATAACGATAACGGGATGTACATAGAACATGCATTTAGCCAGCGTATCGGGACTTTAGCTTCTGCGTAAGAGTTTTCTGAAGTTCAGCCCAGCATACACCGGAAGACGCCGATAGAAATACCTGACTATGTTTCCCGTTTCCTGCTCAAACTACATGTATGAGTACCTACAGGTGATACTGTATAGCGTACAGTAGGAATTACGTGTATTTGTTGAACAGGTTAAAGGGTTTACTTTCCATCTGGGAATTCTGTACATACTGGTAGCTAGCCCGTCACAGAGAACAGAGATTTAAGGTGTGACCAGCTTGCATGTAAATGTACTTGGCTTAGGCTGAAATTGACATCTGCCCCTATGGAAGCCATGGCGCAATTGGTTAGTGGCTATGGCCAGTTCTCATTGGTAAACATTGCCAGTGCATGACATGTGAATGATACATGCGCGCTTGTAGCATGTCACATGATTAGTTCGCAACCAATAAAAATTGACTACTGTATCTACGACCATGGTATTTAACAATCAAGATTGTAACATTTTGAAAGAAACTCTGTACATTGACACCCAATTTGTACATGTGACCGAGTCTACCACAAGCTCATCATAAGTGAAATTACTAGCATAATTCAGTCACTAGTAACTGGTGATGAACAATGTTAATTAATAACCACTTCACACTGGATGACCTGTAAATGCACAGGGATTTCCTGTGTCATAACATGAACAATCTTTAAACACGCTCTGGCCAATCCATATTTAGTACTGCCTGACATCTGTCCGATGTCTTAGTGGTTTCATCATACTCGTGCATGCCCACTGATTAGAAGCTCCCTTTGCATGAGGGCTCAAGTGGCACATTAAGATTCCAGTTCCATGGTTCCATGTGCAGTGGGCGTGGTTTAAACTGAAGTGCCGTTAGACTTACAATCTTGATACTCATCCCGATGCTTGAATACTTGAACACACACAAAGGCTCACACGAGTCCATGGAGGTTTAACGTGTGGAGTCCTCGAGCAGCCGTGGGCTACAGTTGGGCATTGTACTGAAGTAAATACCGCTTAACAAAGTGATCCTGAAGTTTCAAAAAAGCAACGATGCAGTAAAAGCGTCGCAGATATCTCAAACGAATGACCTTAGAGAGGCAGGACGTGTAAAGACCAACTTTGTAAAGGACGTTGGTTGGGGTATTTTGTTTTAAAAAGCCGGTATTTTCGGCAGAAAATTACATCCTGTCAGAGACACCAAATTCTTAGTGGAATAAACCCATCAGCAAGTGGTTAAGGGAATGCCTTGACACTTCATTTAGAGAAGCTTAGTACTCTTGTTATGATGGCTTGTGTTGGACTTAAGTGTATACAGGTTGAAAGTGTACATGCTTTTTTTAAAATATTTTTGTACCAAAAGTGAAATACATACATGTATGTACATGTACATTTAGTACAAGGGTTGTATCCGAATGTATGTTCATGCATGTGCTTAGATGTTAATGACAGCCACCTGTATTATACACAATTAACCATGTTTGCAATGTGTTTGCATTGGCCCATAGTACCATGTATATCTCATGTATAATAGTCAGGACACCAGATGATGGCAGCTGCCCGAATGTGGAAGGAATGTGTACATGTACCTGGTGCTTTACAGTTCACTGCTAAATTAGGCTGCGTCTGATATCAACTGGCTGTGGCTATAGGAGTACCGGTAGCACACATGTCTATAAGGAATGGCTAGATTTACTAGCCACTTCCATAGATGAGCATGATATTGCCCGTTGTTATAGCCAGGTAATTTGGGCTTGGCTTCTTATCTGTTGATGAAGAAGGTCATATGGTGCGCATGGACAGGCGTACAGGTACGGTACCCGTACATGTACCTTCTAGATATTCCAACTCTTCTTTGTATGCTTGTCTTTTTAAAGAGTTCATGTACCACATTATTGTAAGTATAACAGAAAAAAAGAAGTTGGAATAAGTGTGGTTCACAGGATTGTCACACTTTTTCGCTTGAGGAGTTACCGGGTACTGAGGGAACTTAGCTTCTTGTTTTATGTTCCATCGGTGTGCTGTATGTTTCCAATGACACAAGAAGACTGGAGTTGCCATGTCACAAGAGGGCGCTGATGCATGTGTATGGAGACTCACAAATCTAGAGTTAGTGGGAATTGGCCAATTTTTACACTAATTCAGCATGCAATACAGTCTTTTCTGCATGGATGCATGCACTGTCAAAGAGTCCACGATTAGTCCCATTTAGTGCGGTTAGTTTATCGTGTTGTTTGTGCCAGCACTGGGTTTTGAGGTGGTTTGGATAAAATTGTGTACACCCTTGTTAACTGTGTATTTCCCTACATGCAGAGTTAATTAGTTGTCGTGCATCTACATGTGTTATCTGAAAATCAGCACTCATGTATACATTGCCTGTTTTACAAACTGTCCACTAAGTTCCATTTAACATTTTCCTCTGAAACGTACATGTGCTTTGCAGAAAAAGGTCGTGGACTGTCTTCCCTAATGCTGCAACTTCTTTCAGTACTGCAGCCAACTGTGGGAGAAACTTGAGTTGGTTTGACCCCCTTAAATTGACATCTCTTGTCTGTTGAAAGTTACAAAAAGGAAAGTATGAATTTTAACACTGGCACCACCCTCATCCCTCTTTGGTCTTGGATGAACTCTGGGATGCACAAAAGTATCACTGACAACAGGAGAAGAAATGAATTTGGTCGCTTTCTCTAATAGCACTGCAGAGATGACACCTGTTGACTGCAGTGTTGTGGCCGTAGACATTTTTGACTTGCAATCTTGACAGCGGAGTATTGATTGAACTGATTAAGCATGTCAGGGGTGAGAAGTGTTGGAGAACATGGCCATGGGATGGTACATGTGAATGCAGGTGCAGGTAAACGCACAGCAGCAAGAGAGTATCAGCGTCAATTTGGTACATGTCTGGTCTAATATTCCCTTTGACGCCTTGTACAGTATATACACCTGTAATTACTGCCAACAAGAATGTACATACACAGGTAGCTGTAACTATTTTCGTAGTTTGGAAATGATGGCTGTAAATAAGGGATCACTAATTGCAATTAATGGTGTTTGATTTGAGCTTGCTTTGCCCTGTGTGGCTCCCAAACTGGACATTGAGAGCTTCTCTGTCAAAGGTATAAAGAAGAAATGTGGATTTGGGGTTAGATGTGAATCTGATTTGGATAACGGAGGCGAGTGTTTGCCACCCCTCTTGAAGTGTCATTTCAGACTTGTGTGTACACTACGAGTAGTGAAAGGGTCGAATCAATTTTTTCGTCTTTCTAATGTGTGTAACTTATGAATTCATTTCTTATTCAATATTTATGTGGTACTGATGGCAGTGATTTCTGTAGAACAGGTTTTCCTTTTTTATAATGAGATGAATTTGTATGAAAGTATGTGTAATTCTTTAGCTTTCTCCATTTAGCTGGAAAATGGTGGGTAGATAAAAGACTGGTAAAATGTGTTTGTTTGGGGGAATCTTCTGTCAAAGTAAACCGACAAAAAAAAATTGGAAGGTAAAGTTTCCATCCTTGCAGTTTCAACTTGGTTGTTTTGTAATGCCTTTTCAGTTGTTCCTCAGTTTGCCCCAACAATACCAGCAAAACCCACACCAATTCAGAATCTGTGGATGGCAGTTGGGTTGGAGTGAGAGTCCCTGCAAAAAGTGTCAAGTTTTCCTCATGATTGACATGTACAATGTGTATACACATTTCCAGTGTATTTCTGAACTGACCCAAGCTACACGTAGACACAAGGGAACATTTTATTGTACTAAACTACACATACAGGTTCTTGGGCTGGGTCCCTAATGGAGCCTGGATGCTTGACATCAAAATTCAACTTCAAAATCTGACATTTAACGAGCAGTGACAGGAACTTGTAGGGCAATTTTGTTGCTACATGTAGTGAGGTAAAATGAAAGAGGGTTTGAAAAAGCAATGAAACAGCAAAGAAAATGATGTTATTCAGATTGGTACGACTTTAATATCGCAGTCATGCACAATTTGGATGTACAGTATACATGTGATACATTCATTTACTTTTAATCTGCTGGTAATCTGAGAGGATGTTTCCTGTGTTAAGCAAATCCATGTGCATCTTGAAATGGGTATTGGTATCTTCCTCTCCGACTGCAGCAGGTGGCGAGATTGTATGAACAGCTTAAAACAGTACATGTATGTAATTCAACATGAGTTCAGAGTCTTGTAACGGTAAGTTGACGGTAGTGAATGCTGTCTGATGTAGCCTTACGATTTTTCAAAACTAGATTTTGTTTCTCTTTTGGGGGCAAAGTCTGTGAGTGGAGATGTCTTGTTTTCCAGTTTGAGATTTCATTTTGGCTGGCATTGACAACATTTTCCAAGATGAAAGTCTTCCCTCATCTTTTAAACATAGCCATGACCAGAAGCAATCCATTTCATATTTCTGTTTGGCTTCTTGCAAGTTCTTATCTTGTCTCAACCTAGTCCATCAATCTATAGGTACATGCCGCCTAATTTACATGGACTTCAAGCTCTGTGTACATGTATAACCAAGCATTCACCTATTTACTGTACACGCACATGTGCGTTCCGTGGATACTATCAAGATCTCTTGGATGATAATACAAAGTCACACTTCCTCTATACCTACGCTTTATCTTTGTGTATCAGCTAAGTTTTGCATGAGAAAAAGTACTTGTTTACACGCAGGGAGGGTTAATTGTATAAATGTAGTTAGGACAGCTCTGAAATGTGTCTTGTATATCAAGATGGCTGAATTTTTTATTCTGTAAATGGTATGATCATTTGCCCAACGTGTAAATCATTGGTAAGCTTACATGTAAGCCAGCTGTTTAGGCAGTCACTGTACTGAATTTCATTTTGTGGAATTTGAAGGTCTGCCACAAATTGGCATGAGTGTCTGAGATGGGGCCACCTGTTGCCAGGGCTGAGGTGGTTGTGGGAGTGTTCTGTTAAAATTGGAGAGCTTGGAAAATCAAGGAGCTTTAGTGAAGCTACTCACACCTGATTGGCCGTCATAGTTCATCGTGTGCCTGACAGAAGGGCGTAAGCGCTTAGGCCCTTTTGCTGGGAAGCATGATCACTGCAAAAGAACTTTTCCCGGCAAAAGGACGCAGGTATGCAACTATTGTATTTTAATGAGATATGAAGATTTCTTGGCAAAAAATTTAAAAAATGCCCAAGTCCTTTAATAAGTTGTTCAAAGGTTGCTTTTTGTACAGCCCAGGTTTTGTAGTAAATTATATCCGTTTTTATTAAATAAAGAGGGTGTGTTTCTTATGCCATTTTGCTGGGAACATTTTTTTCTGCTGTGATCATGCTTCCCGGCGAAAGGGCGTAAGTGCGCTTATGCCCTTCTGCTGGGCACCCGACGAGTTGAGAGTCGTGACTGGGTTCGAGTCGGCCAAATGTAATGTGGAAATTAACCAAACACAAGTAGATGAGTGAGCAAACTCCAAGGAACTGTGATCTGGTGACAAACAGACACACAGTTTTTATGATGCAAGACAGCTGTCCTGGATTTTCTAGAATGTTTTATCCATTAAGCCGACATTGCAGGGTGTTTAGTTCCATGTACATGTCTTTCAGATGAATGTTTTTACACTTGGGATCTAAGACAAGACACACGCAATGCCACCAGTCCAGTGGCCCATCAATTCTTGGTCTTACAGTTCTTGGCAGGTCTCCAGTCTAATTCCAACTTGGGTTGTCTTACAATCTCTGCCAATTAATTGGAAGTTAGCTTTCAGTTTCTCATAACCTGAAGTATGGAATTATGCCACTTGCTGAGTTAATTAAACTTAATTGATCTATTCTACAAATACATAATTTCACAAATACATAAATTTCAGTTTCTTTAATACATGTTCATGTTCAAATTCATGTTTATAATTTCAGTGTTGTCATTTTTGTTTTTTATACATTACAACTTGCTAGTAACACAGTATACCAATAATAGTGTACATGTATTAAAGGTTCTTTTGTATTTATAGGTGAGGCATGTACATTTGAAGTGGCAGGTTTACCCCGTCACCATTTTGAGTTGTATTATTCCTTGAGTGTTTCTGTACGCAGAAAATAAAACATCAAGACAGTTCTATGGAATGGAAGTGTACATGGCTGGTTTTTGACTGGTAATCTATATGTACATGCAGATTATCTGATAGAGTAAATCTGACAGGGGACCATTGTGGATTGAACCCTGTCCAGCACCATGTGCTTAAAAATTGGAAGTTAGGTTGGAGCCCTGGAAGAGTATACAGATATAAAATACTTTTGAGGGTGGATTGTCAGGGTTTTATTTTTAGCTCCCTGAGGTATTGGAAGCTGACAAACTTGTCCCCAAGATGAAGCCAAGGAACTATAGTTGGTCAACTTCTAACACCAAGGGTGTACGTTGTAACTCTAAAGAGAGACAAGGGAAGAAGGCTTTGCCAATGAGGAGATTGACTTCAAAGGTCCAAAATGCCACAGTATTTAGATTAAGCCACCATAGTTTTCTTAGCGCTGAATTGTGGGATACTTACCCAAAATAACCTGACTCTGTGGATTACTTACTCAGGCCAGGCTTGAGTAAGCATAAATATTCAAATCTTCAAATGAGACTCAAATCAAACATAATCACATTTTTATAAGAAATGTGACAAGTTGTTAAGTGTTTTGTAGATAAATGTGCTGTACAACTAGTCGATATTTCATGCATTCAAAAGGAAGTTTTAAAAAGTTTTCAGATTAAATTCCAGAGTAAATAAGCTGTGAAAAGAAGCAGTGTCTTTTCGGTCTTAAGCTACCTGTATGATCAGTAAAGAAAGTGTACATAATACAAGTGAGATACTGACTGTGAAGTCCCAAGTTACCCTATGGAGGCAAGACGCCTAGCGTCATTGACGATACAGTCCACAAATCCCTTTTTTCACCACTTACTGTTAATATCATCAGACTTGACAAAAGGTGGTGAAATCAGGGACCTGGTGACTATACTGTCATCGACGTTAGTCCCCTTCCAGTCGAGAGTTACATGTATTCATGTGTACCTGACAGGTCATGTTGCATTCACTGTCGGAGAAGTTTCAGGCCTGAACCAAACTCTTTAGATTGCGGTATAAATGACAACCAATGAACGCAAGGGCATGAATCAATACAGGGGAAAAAACACAAACAAGGGCGGCAAAGCTGTGGCTTTCCTCTTCAAACAAATTTTGCACATATCAATAAGAAATTGAAAACATTGGTGGTGGCAAATGCACTCTTGAGTTTGAACAAGTCCAGATGTGTATGCACCTGCTCTTAATTTTGGTCCAAGCTCAGAAATATTCTAGGGTAAGTCCTTGCAAAGGTTCTCTTTTGTCCGGTACGTAACGTTTTCCTCGAGAATACCGTTACGTCAAAGGCTAGTCGCATCAAACTGTCTTGTGGATATTCTCCATCCAGATGCCTGATAGCAGAATTAAACAACACCGACACCGTGGATATTTGAAGGTAAGGCTTCCATTGCGTATGGGACACAGCGCATGCCAAATCGCAGACTTGCCCCCCTTTACATCAACAGAGCTGCGTCCATGTAACAAACTTCCCGCTCGCCAAGCCTTCTGTGCCAAATGTAGCGGTGATTGCGGCCAGTGAACGGCATCAGCGTGGGATTAATGCTCCGGGTGCGGACCTGACGCCGCCTTCGCTCACTTTGCTGGTCAGAGTTCATCCAGCTGAGGAGACAGGAACGTTTGAAGATGCAGCAGTACAGGAGAGGGATGTACACCCCAATTACAAGAAGAGACAGGAGGACCCGGCCTGCCATCAAGATGGGATTTAAAACAAAAGACAGTCAATCAAGAAGATAATATTGATGTTCAAATAGTTATTATTATGGCCGTTGGAACAACTCATTCATATTGTTAAGAAGTAATTCTCATGAATAAAATACACCAATCTTGTAAAGAAACTAAAATAAAATGTGCCTGGACAAAAGCTACATCCTAACAGTTGGCTTTTAATAGTTTGAAGAATTTACTTGAAGAACTCCAAGTCTTTACTCTGTAGTAACTCTGAATTCAAGTACTTTTTCCTTAATTCTCAAGTAGCCAACGAGATGTGACAATTAGGTGAGGGAGAGTATTCAGTTTTGAAAACATTCTCCCATCCTGCCATTTTCTTTGACAAATGTCATTCTTGTCATGTGACCATTGACAAAAGTAGTGCCATTCATTGGCTGTCAGTGCCAAATTCCCTATGCCCCGAACAGCGCTTTCTGATGTCAGATGCTATCCCTATGAGATCACACCAATGATTCCAGGCAAAAGATAAAACCTGAACCCAAGAAAATGATTCAACAAAAACCAAACAAATAAAAGGAACTTCTTGCGACAAAAAGCCAACTGTCAATTTACCCAGCATATTCCAACTGGTTCCCAATCCTGTCTCGTCTCCCTCCCACGCCTCACCCAGGGGGAAGCTCATGATAGCTACCATGACTGACAGCGGAATGAGCAACAACACGGTGTACACTAGCATCACACCCAGCTTCTGTAAGTACCGTATGGTAGAGGCTTGGCGACGGCCGGTGGAAGACTGATCCGTATCCTCAGAGGCCTGTTTTTGGGGGTGTGGAAGAGAGTTAAGTCAGGGGGGGGAAAAAGGACTCTTGCGAGAATGCTGCGACCAACTTCTTTCAGTGCATGTGTACACACCTCCTTTCACCTATATATGTGCCTACTTAATTCTGAGCCACTTAATTCTTCTGGTAGGTAAGATTCTATACACTGCAAAGTTACCAAGTTGAGTCATAAGGTCTGCTGTGTGCTAGCCGTCCTTGGTTGTGGCTCTGCTCAGTATTTGTTTGGAACATCAGGGGATCCCTGGGCTTGTGAGACACTTGGGAAGACATTTCACTTCATAGAATGCTTTCTCCTTTTAGTAAGCAGACTCGTATCAAATTGATAACGGAACAGAGATCCAACATGTATGATTTTCTGTGCCTAAACAATAGACATCCTTTCCTGGACAAAAGTGGCTTGAATCTGATGGTTTGCTAATGGACAAGTGGCCATTTTTTTATTATCTGAATTTGGAAGCAGGCATGGCGTACGAAAGCCAGAGGATAAGAAATTTGGTAAGTCAAGTTGGCATCGTGGATCTTTCCTTGTCTTTCACCACATCGGCCCGGGTCCAAACTTCAGTCCCAATCTCATTCCTTGGGTTTTACCCAAACTATTCTTCTGCGGTTTTCCTCCCACCTCTAAAACTGTAAATGTTTTTCATCGTTTCCTCACTACAGGTTTCTTCAGGCTTACGAGCTATAGTGCCCAGGGTATTTTTGAGCAATCCGTGCAATTCATGACTAGAAATGCTTATAATAACAAATTACAAACTGTTATCGCATATTTGTCATTGCATATTTAAGGAAAAGTTTCAGGAGTCAGAATGATGATCTCTTAAGTTCTTTAAGAGCCATAAAACTCTTACCACTAGCATTCTCAGCTCATTTGGAATCTCGAACGGTGAGAGGCAGAGCTCACAGACAGCCGACCCAGAACACGCCTGCCACCTTCGCAGGCACATCAGATGCACCCAGGCTGCTGTACCAGAGCATAAGCAGGGTCTGATGAGGGGATCGTGGGGGGCTTCAGGCCCCAAAGAGCAGCAGCGGGAAATTAGGGGTACAGCCGATGGCAGGGATGTGTGCTGCTGCTGTTGGTCGCTCTCGAAGCAAATGCGGCAGAGTGGAAGGGTAGACATCCTTCTTGGAGCCATGCCTTTCTTTGGCATCACAACTGTACATGTCTGTACACAGAGAGAGGGTAAACGTATGGTAAACGAGTACTCATTAAAAACTCCATTGCCACGGGTATTGCCAGGGTTTTTTTTCCATGCGTTTACAGTAGAAGTCAGTTACAAAATATTTTCAAACAAACTGGTGACTTCAATCCCTTTCCCTTTTTCTTTTCATTTTTTGGGTGGTAGAGGAAGGCAATATGCCCCCGGTTCCCCCTCGTGACACCCATGACTATTACTCAACTCGGCCTGACTCATCTATGCTTGCATTAATTAAGGCACTCAATCTCCCCAATTACTGCCAGGAAATGCATGCACAAATTTTGGACAAGTCCAAATGTCAAAAACCCATCACTTGGTGCACTGGGGGATACGTCTTCCTGTGAAGTGGTTAAATCATACATACATATCCTGTGCAGGAATAAATTTATGACCTGTTTCCTCCATGAACGTTAATCAACATGAAAAAAGAACAAAGGACCAAAACCCACAACTGCGTGCCTCTCTACAATTTTGGATTAATGAAGTGGTGTTTCCATGACACAAATCGTTACTTTATCAATCCTGCTAGGGTATGTGATTTCCTCCAGTTTTACAAGGATATTGAGAGCAATATCGATGACTCCTGTCTGGTCATAATTACCATGAAAATATGAGGTAAAAAGTACTCAAAGGCATCAGCAGACTACTATCTAGTGGGGTACATTTGCAAGGTGTGACTTTACCACACTGCCAATATTCCCCACAAAAGCCCTTTTTTACCCCAATGGTTTGTAACAAATACTTTCCCCCTATAAGTGCATGGGGGCATTTAAAAGATGAAAATTACAAGATGCTCTCAAAAACTCCCCCCTTCCAATTTTATAGAGGTCAGCTAGGTGACCAGTGAGAAAACCTTGTCTATACCCGCAAAGTGTGGCCCTTTCTCACCTTCCCACCAACGCAAATCAAAAAGACTTCGCTATGCCATTGCCACCAACCTTTCCAGTGCTAGCATCCATGATCCTGACTTCAGACTCCATCTCCAGGGCAACTCTTTCATCGTTGACCTCTGGCCTAGGCTCCTCGCACACCTGAGCACTAAACTGCTCGCCAATTGGGCTCAACTTAGCAGTCATCATGTTGTAACTGCCCTCCAGTTATTTAACATATGCAATTCCAAAAATATGGATGACTCTCGATGACTGGCTCAGTATACAAGTTGAAATCTGTTGCCTGGATCATTGAAAAAATCAAAGATATGCATTTCTCAGCTCCTGCATTTATTTGAATAAAAAAAAAACAGACAAAATAGAACAATATGCGATCAAATGTTCAAAATGGTATCTCAGAATACCAAACCAATCTAGCAGAAATCTGCACCCTATATGCAATGAAAAATTAGGAGCCAATTCTAAGTGCAAATTAACTTCACAAGGAAATTGAAGGATTCCTGTTCCCTGAGATGACTGTTTTCAAGAATCCATTGTAAGTTGTTGCTTTTAACGACAGTGAGCTAAGTTGGATATCAGGTAACACTTCCCATCACACTCTTATTAAGGTACATGTACATTTCAAAGCCAAGTTGTACTCAACATCTCTCTTTGAATTTCATGTACTGAAACAGTAACAGAATGCTCCCAATATTTCAAATACCTTTTTTTTCTGGCATTTGAGAGTTTTGACAGTAATTGAGACCATCTCTACCCAGGCATGTCGAATGATGAACAGTGCACTCTAGTTTCAACACGGTTGCAGTTACAGCGATCAAGCAAATTAATTTGTTCTGACAAAAAAGGCTAGATAAATAGAGAGACGTGAATTCAGAGGCCCAAGACTCGAGCATTTGCTCTTTATATTCGTCAGTTAAAAGATCATTACGGCAATAATGTCCTTTGGGAAAATACTCAAGGGCCTTACTCTGAGCATGAAAGAAATATTTTATTAACAGACACTATTTGTTTGACGAATATTCATAAAAGTAGTTTTTAGGGGCTAACATAATCAAACTTCAACAAGTTTTTCTCACTCCAATTAATGTTCAAAACAATATTTTTCAATAAACGCCTTTCAGTGCAGTTTTTCGATAAGGGTATTTGAACACCGACACTGTATTGGTATTTTGTCAGAATACGTTGTCCACTGCAATTTTAACTGTAACTGCATGCATGCTGTACAGACAAAATGCCAACAAGCGTATAACATTCACCGTAGAATATGATAAACAGGAAAGTGATCAGCTGCAACAAATGCAAAATAAATGCTAAATACATTCAAACAAAAGCTATCCATGTCATATACTTACATGTATTCTGCATGGCTGCTATGCTTGTACTCACCTCCAATCTAGAAAACCGATGGAAAATTGAGAGCAGTTTGTCGTTGACCAGCTGTCAACTTCCCATCTGGCAGAGTTATTTCTCTCTTTCAGAGATGTTTCCAATTTAAGCACAAACCTGACAATCAACATCAGTGATAACCTTTCAAAGTCAATTGCAGGACTGCAAATGGATACAAGCTAATTATCTACATCCTAGTGACTTTTGCTCAAATGAATGTCTCTTCCAAATGAGTACACATTGACTGCATTTCCTAACTGTGAACTCTAAGCTCAACTGTCTACTGCATATATGCCTGCCCGAGTGGAACAGATACGCATTTGATAGCAAAACACATGAGGTATATTTATGGTCTTCAGTAGTGGTAAAAGAACAACTGACATTTTGTCTTGCAACAGTAAAGAACTAGGAAATGGCAGACATTTTTATCAATCAATCAAAAAATAAACAGACCAGAAGATATCAACTTTGATGGCTCCTATAACATGGAATCATTCTTTTTACCAGCAATGATACTATAATGAAGGAGAGCTCAAAGGAAAAAGTCCAACCCTAAAGCAAATAAATTACCTATCTCACAGTGAGCTGCGACAATGACTCTATACAGGTATTTTTAATTGGATCTGGGATCAATATTTGTTTGATGTGTGATCCATTTGTTAAAATCAGCCTAAATTTGTCGGGTCATTACCATGTTTTCTGGCTCTGAATAAAACCAAGAAAGATATATGAGGGGTGCAAATTACAAAATAGAAGAGCATAATAGCATTGCATTGTACCCAGTAGTAGGCCAACAGTACTGTGAATAAATGGAATTCAAACAGTTACATAAAATTGAATCAAAATGGTACGGAAACATCCCTGAAACTGACATGATGACACGAAACATATACCATTCAGAACTTTTCGTTTTTTGTCATACTGAAATATTTGCATTAATGCAACCTTTTGGGGGACCCGGAACCATTCGCTACATACCAGCAATCAAAGCTTACACTTCAATAACCCAAAAATATCCATTGCCAACCCACAAATGCCATCTGTGATGATTGTCACAGCTAGAGCGAACAAGAATAAGTGAAAATGAAGTTGTAATATCAATGGTTGGTTATTCCTTGAATCAGGGGTCCAAAGCGTGACATTTTCATGTCCTTGTTACATCTGCCCTTTATTATTTGACACGGAAATATCACCACAATTGATTTCAAACTATCACTATTTGTTTGGCAGGTAATTTGCATCAATTCATCACCTCTTGGAAATTAGAAAAGGTGTTCTGAACTTACAAAATCATATGTCAGATGTGACAGGGACACAAAAAAGATGGACCCCTGATTTATGGAATTACCCAGTTACGTCTGTGGATCTGTCATCGGAAGTGGAATTGATACTAGTTGCTTAAGTTAACTTTGCCTACAAACATTGTTGCGGTTGACACTGACATGAAATCAACAGTGCAAACACCAACACAAAATCATCTGTATGCTTTGTTCTACAAGTCAATATCCTAACCAAAATATGCAAAAGCACATGAGAAGTTGGCAAGAATCCAAATACACTTACCAATTTCTGAGGCAATTTCAACTTCCAGAGGTATTGTTATTCCCATTCCCCCCTCCAATAGAGTAGAACTTCAGTGGGAAACTTCAAACTATTCAATTTTCCAACTTCCATTTTGTGGATAAGTTTTAAAGCTCCTTCACATGGGAGTTCCTTCACGCACTACCCTGAAGTTGTTTTCCAGGCTCAAAATCCTTTGGGAGAAAACGCAATAGGCTTTGCAAACCGTGTCATGTTTACACAAGTCGTGTTGACATTTCCGAGGTTATCAGTGTCTTTTCTCTTCCAAGTCAAGTAACAAGTAGTTTTCTCCATGCACGTTGTCCCAATTTTTTTTTCAAGTCTATTTGAAATTCTCAACCTTTATTAATGGTGAGACCTATGGACGCTTTGCAAAGTAAGTCCAACCTCAGTGACTTATCTTTCTCAAGTTTGTCCACAATAGGCATGAGTAAACTGAATCCAATTTTGCTTTTTACACTCTGCAAAGAATACAGAATAATTTTCCCTTGTATTTATTTCAATACTTGTACTTGGTAATGTCAACGAGCTAAATTTGTGACCTGTTCTTAGAAAATAAGTCACCAGAGCCCCTTTTGAGTTACAGGAATTTTAAACCCCTAATTGGGTGTATGGTACGAACAGCCATGTTCAAATCAGAGGATTGAGGACAACTGGGGTTCTTAAAGAGTCTTGTACTGTGGAAATCGGTAGGAATCTTCAATATTTTCAACCACGATAATGTCAAATTTCATTGAGATGCCGAAAAGAGTAACACATTCAACCAAAGAGCTTAATTTGCTCCCTCTTTCTAATGCAACTGAAGCAGATTTTCTGGGGAAAAAATGGCTACTTTTCACAGAATGGATCCCATTTGTACAAGTCTCCAGTTATTTTCTTCCAAATACCGTCATTTTGTTTCCAAGCCAAGTCTTCAGTAGGCTTAAGACTGGCTGCTTCTGCCTAATAAATGACAAATTATTTCAAAACTTTGTACCATGTAGCCCAATCCCTCACAAAACTATTGCTCACCCTGTCACTTATGAAAGGTCTTGCGAAAGAACTTGTGAAAGGATTTGTGATGCACTGAACATTCACTCTTAAAACTTTGAATGTATGCAGTGACATCTTTGTTCTGTAGAGAAGCCTGATAATTTATATCTTCTCTGAACTAGCTCCATGATCAGCCATCAATGTTAGCAGAGAAAGACCATGCAAGCCCCATCTCCAGCTGATCGACATACAAATTTGTCAGTTTTTGGCCGGTCAGTCCTTTTTTTTCCATCAGGCAATTTTCCGGCCACCAAATTGACGCTGACCAAAAAAAACCCTTACAAGTCAGACATTTTGCTAGAATTTCTGTTTTTTCCTGCTGTGCCTTACCAGAGCATAGTTACATCTGATGGGCTGTACATTCAGTAGACAAACAACACCGTCAGTATCACAGTCTTTCAACATGAGATTTTCTGTATTTCCGTCTACTGCCAGATGGTGCTCCATGACCAACTATTTAAAGATGTCACCTTACTGGTTTAATTGAAACAAGGAGGTGACAAAGAAAAGACATGCATTTACAAATAATGACAGGTGTACCAGTATGTTCCTGTTTTTCTCTCTCTTGTTGTTTTAATCAGACAGCACACTAATTTATGCTTATCAACCGACATACGAAGTACCGGGGAATCCTTGCTTTTCCACACTACGCCATTGGACAGAGCGTGGCCCAGACAGCGACACTGTAAGCCCAACCACATAAATTTACATATCATTTACATAGAGTGCGGCCTTGCTATTGGACAACACTGAAATAGGGCACATCAGTTTTGGTCGTGTCAGCACACACCATGGGGTTTAATGGTAAGCTAAGCTATCAAACAGAAAATCTGAAACCAAAAATCACCACTGTTTTCACAGAAACAGCCTTCTAGAAATAAATTAAACTAGATGCATGAAAGTACAGTATCTTTATATACATGTACAAGGCCCTGGTGTAAACGCACTATTAACTACAGAGGTAATTTGACTTTTCAAAACTATTTCATAACGTTTTCTTTATTAGTACACGTAGAAAATATTCCTCTTTTGGCCCAAAACTGGTGACAGTAAAATGAAGTTGTTCCACTGTTTCTGCTGTCTGGGAAGCAATAACTAGCACATATGCAAGATTGTGCAAATTTAAGAGGGCCAACTTATGAGGCAGAACAGCTTTTAACGAGAAACTGCCTTTATCTTAAATTGCTTCATGGTGCTACATAATATTTATAATGGAATAATAGACCATTTAACAAAAACATGCTTGATTGCTTGTACAATGAAAGTTATTAATTAGGCAATTTTACACGTTAACAGGTGTTACATGTACGGTATATGCATATAATACAGTAAAATGACTGTCAATGGATGAATTACAAAGTGCGTTGAAACATAAATCTGGACTCTATATTCACTTGTTCATCACCAACCCTGGAATTATTGCCCGACCCCCCTTCCCTGTCCAGCTTTGCTCCACCCACGCTCAAGTCAAATCAAGGTTTAAATTGTACTGCAAACAGATGACTGGAACTTCCACAACGCTGCAAACAAACACTTAGAACGGGCATAACAACAAAACACAGCAACTCACAAGGACTCATGAATAATGCATGACAGCACGTAATGCAGCTCACAAAATCATAAATGCAAAGACTACACATTTTTATACACTTATAAAACGTAGTATTGTTCACTTAAGAAAACCACAGCGCACCTTGACTCTATCTTACTGTTTGAGATGTCCAACTGCACAGTTGCACTGAAACCACAATTGAAGTTGTGCAGTCGGACTGGATTAAGGTGGGCTGAGCCACGCCCGCCCATTTTTCTGGCAATGCCTATCCGCTTTTCAAGACAGTGAGGTGTGCCCCCAAACATGTCTGTAATGGCATGCCGTAACATGGTAATCAAAATACAAACACAGCATTTCCGATGACAGGCATCGGAAAGTTGGAAATCTCTTTGCCAGTTTCCAAGCCTGAAAGTTCCCCACTGACCAAGACAAATGCAAACCACTCCATTTTTTTTTAAATGTTTCTCTTTACACATTGAAATAACAGATGAACTCACTCCATGAGGACTATTTACACTCTTTTCACTCCTCTTGAGTTGAAGTACGGTACTCACAATGGAATGCCAGCTCATCCACTTCTCCGCTCATCAAAGTAAACTACAACAGAATGGTTTCTTTGACAGAAACCCATTTCAGTGAAATTGGGAACTCATTTTACAGATATAATTTTATTTGAGAAACAAACTGGCAGTGTTGCATTCCATTATGCTTTTTCATGGCTACAAACTAAGTGCAAAGATGCCTATACTTGGTTCAAGCAACAAACGTCTTTATGGCTTTATTCAAAATCACTTTTCTCTTTGCCTGAAACTACGCTGCAAGTTGAGTAAAGCCAGACGTACGGGAAACTACAAGAAAACATTCTCTCCTACCTAAACCTGTGAAAGCATACCTCATATTCAAGCACTGCTCAAGCAGGAAGATTTTCTTTTGGGGGGGGGGAGTACAACAATGACGCATGGAAAGTGAAATGACTTTCTTTTTTTAGACTGGTCACCTATTTTTGCTAGGCTTTTTCCCTCCTGCTTTAACATGCAGCTAAATTCAACCTGGCTCCACGTTCCATATGGGCCAAATGGAAATACACAGCTGCTAATTACTAATTGGGTATTCCAGTCTGGAAGTTACGTTCCCCTCTTGAAGGCTAATGACACTTAGATCTCCATTCAATGCCTCCCAACCTAGGCCAATGTCAAGAGGCTGCTGAGTAGACAATGCTACTTGGGCAAACCAACACGCTGAACCGTAGTCAGCGGAGAACCAGTAACGTGCAATATGCATGGCATTTTGGCGGTCATCCCGTCTCGGCCAGGCAAGTATTTTTAGCACTTAGCAACTGTCTGCACCAAGCAGCTCCATGATTTTAATGGGCCAATGCACAGGTGGTGACATCACACTGTTTACACGTACACTTTCCTGCAGAGGCAGTGGGGTTCCATGGTCACGGACCCACAATGGCCGTAATCGGCACACAGTACTCACTGAAGCCACCTGTGGCCATCCCTACCATGCCAAATACAAAGCTTTTACACAAGCCGGCTTGCCATTGTTAACTCCTAATTTGTTCTTCACATCAATAGTAACAGTGGCAAGCAAGGCAACCATCACCTTTGCATTCGGCACAATAAAATGGCTGCTGGTGGCTTCATTTGGCACAAAAGTATTGTGGGTCCAGATTTTTTTTACATATGTCCGTGCCCAAGGTCCTCTGAGCACCATAGGAGAGCATACACATGAACAAAGTATGACATCATCAGTACAGTAGAGAATAAGACAAAGAAAACCTTGGAATATAAGTTGTCGGGACAAGCTGATGGTTCACATGGGCTGTTAACCATTTCAATAATCTCTCAGTGCCAGTGTGCACAAGGGAGCATTCCGTTCGTAAGCTTTTTTTCCTCATTTTACCCAATGGCTTTAGTACATACAATCCACAGCTCATGTATCCCAATGGTACCGTAGAACCACGCATGATGCAATAACTGAGTCTAGGAACTATACTTTAACTTAAATAACCCTTGGCCACAATAACTACCAGTGATATATTTCCCAGGCCATTTCTGAAAACGTGGCTTTGTCCCTGGTCCTGGCTTCATCTCAAACTCTCTAACAATTCTGAAGCCTATTACAGGCAAGTCAAATAAAGCATATAGGCTGTAACCTTTGAGCTCCTATTGTAAACGCTGAACCTAGATGTGTCTGACATCTCCTGTTGATAATACATTGTGAGGTCGGATCCTGAAGCCAACACAATGCCATGACTTCAAAATGGCCCAAAATCTTGGGTAGATGCATGTACCTGAAAGTGATATAACAAATTGCTTCCATCCATGTTAGTTCAATTTTAAGCGACAAAAACGACTTCATAAATTTCTCAGAAACTACGACTTTTTCATAAGGAAGAGCTTACAAATTATTTCCATTTTTCTGTCAACACATTCCCTTGAAAGTTCTTTGAAAAATCTTCCTGGCAACTTACTGGGGACAAAGTTTTCCAACTAATGATTAAAAACAAACCTGAACAAAGCAAAACATGAATGAATCACAGCTTGGAGTGAATTAATGGTGTAACGCCCCTCAAGTACTTTTGTTTCACAACAAGATTGCCAAAAATTTCAAGCGACAGTTCAAAAACTGAGGTCTGCAAGTCTGACCACAAAAATAGCAAGCGATTTACTAGATCAGAAATAAACAACTTTTTAAAAATACTGAAGGTTCACAGTAAAAAGGGTAACTCATAAAAGCTATATATTATATACTTTTTTTATATATACAAAATAATTGGCTGCTGCTATCGGCAAAATATTTTACACACTGGGCCAACGAGCAAAAGGTAGCATGGCTTGAAAGTCTGCCTCAACCTTTCTTTCTAAATAAAGTGCATGGTATTGATTCACAGCAAAGTTGTACTGTGCAACAGGTTTTGTTTGTTTGTTTGTTTGTTTTGTTTTGTCCATGTACCGAATGAGAGAGTATGAGGCAATCTTCTGTCGCAATGCGTAACAAGAAGTGAAGTCAGGGTGCCAGTCACAATGTGCATCTAATTTCAAATATATCCCCAGCAAGAAA